TTTTTTTTTTTTTTTTTTTTTTTTTTTTTTTTTTTTTTTTTTTTTACTGCTAGAAGATGCAGCTGGATAAAACTAAATTATAAGAATTAAGAATTTCTCAAATACAACACAGGTGTGTCAAGAGGTTTTTAGGGTGGTGTTTCTTTGGCTTTTTTTGTTGTTGGTTTTTTGTTTGGTTTGTTTAGGGGCTGGGGAAAGGAGGATGATTGGGCTTCTGATTGTCTTTCCAGTGCAGAGATCTGACACATGGTAGCAGTGCTATTTTCTCATCTTTCCTGGTTTCAGGAAGATACTAGAGACTTCTAGCATGACTCCAGTGTACTCAAGAAGTCATCCTTCCATAACGGAGGACAAGAAATCAGCTTCATAGGTTACTACACTGATGAATATAAACTTTAAAACCTGCCTCAGTTATGGGCAGTCAGTACAACCTTCTAGTTGTACAGCTCAGGGTCATTTCATAAGATGATGCTCCAAAAAGCCCACATTTGCCTTGCTACAGCATCTTCTTCTTATGTACAGACAGTGAATATTGTACTATCTTTCCTTAAGATGCATAAAAAGTAGAAATTATCAAATAGAAGATCAAAAAAATACCAGTTTAGATATGTAACAGAAATGAGTGTTGTGGGTGGGGTTTTTTTTGGTTTTGTTTTTTTGTGTGTGTGTGTTTTTTGCTCATTTTTTTTGTTTGTTTGTTTGTTTGTTTTTGTTTGTTTGTTTTTAAATTTTTTTTACAGGGAAACACACTGTCTGTACATTTATCATTATCATCAAGACCACAAGTCACATACTTTCTCTCTTCTCAAATCTGTCATATTTAAATTACCATTTGTATTTTATCTACACATCTCTATAGTCTGTCATGCCACAAGAAAGTTTCCCAACTATCTCGTCAATCGGGAAAAAAAATCCAAGAAGAAAACCAGTAGAACAAATAAGTCAATTGACTTCAGCTGGAAAGGAGGAGTCTATAATGTCCTAACAACTACTGATGGCTAAACTCTGGGGCCTAAAATAGGGCATTTTGTGTATCAAAACCATGTGCTCTAAACTGGCTCCACAGGCAGATTTTCAGAAAGGGTGATTCCTACTACAACAATGATTCTGCTGAATAATAACATACAATAACTGCAGGTTAAGTAGAATTTACCACACAGTAAGTTTTAAGCTTTCATGTTTACTATTTCAGAGAACAGAAACTAGTTGAAAGTGAAACCCATATCAGAAACTTGAGAAAAACCCTTCAAAGACGAAAAGGTGAGATCAACCTCTGTTTTTAAAAAGGCTCTAATCTTCAACCTCACTGACTTTTCCAACAGTCAATCAGAATAATCACAGCAAACTTCTGCAAAACAAATAAACTGTTTTGCACAATCTCGTTTCCTGTTTAATCCTGCATTGCTTTCAGTAACTTTTCAGTTGAATTCGAGCAATGCATTCGAAACACACCATTGGAACTGGGAACAAACTCGAGAAATCAGCATGTGTGCCACGCAGTCATCTCTGAGCCAGATCACTGGATTAGCAAGATCTTTTTAAATTGGTCTACCCAAGCAATGATTATGCTAAGGGAATCACTGGATGGTAGAACCAGTTTTTCTCAGAGCAGTCTGAACCATATAAAGAAGAATTTGTATACATGATTTATGGTTTGCTAGTATATGATACTGTTAAATGGAAAGCAGCTGCGTATTCAGAAAGTCTACAAAGCACACTGCCTTTCTTAAGAGTTAAAATGCAAAGCCAAAAGGTTCCTATCCGAGATATTTAAACCACTGGGGAGTGAGGAGGTCAGCAGCATGCTTCAGAGGTGAGCAAATGAAACACACTTCGCTTTGCTGGGTGGAGACTCCCTCTAGTATTTAACTACAACCAAGGGCATGTCTCGATGACATAACAGATTGGGAGCAGATATAACAGTCTGATGAATGCAGAATAAGAGAGAGATGAATATATCTTTCACATTCCCAGATTAGTCTAATTCAAAAGACAGAGACTCTGGATCCTGACTATTTTTTAGCTGCACTCCTCCCATAGCAGGACACTAAGCAAGAACAGATCAAAGATCTGGCTATTTCCAGTACCCTGGTTCCAAAAGTAAAACATATTTCAGATGACAGCACAAGAATAAGAAAAATAGCAGAAAAGGTCCACAGAAAATCAGTTTATACCAAAGAAAGGATGATGCACATCCCTTAGAAAGGCAACCTACAAAATGCTCTTCCAATCCACTCCAATTCCACTTCCTGTTCTGTTTTCAGAAACATTTTTCATGTTAAGTTAGCTACAAATCAGGCTCCCCAAAGCTTTCAAACCTGTTGCTATACCTCACTAAATTAGTAGAAATTAATACTTAAAAAACAGTTGGGTTCCAACAGTTTTCCTGAATGCACATGGACAGGGCCACAAACAGATCCTACAGGTTCCTTAAGCAGGCATAAAGCAGGCAAACACCAGGGAATCTGGTACATGAATGTCCCTCACATGAATTGACAGAACCTCTAACGTGAAAGTCAACCATCAATATTTTCTAGTAATCAAAAATTACAGGTTTAAACCCACAGAACTCTTAGTGTATAATCAAGTACTCAATTTTCCTGGCGGAAAGACATTTTAAAGCAAGTTTTTTCAAGTTCATATTGTTTCATTTCTTGACCAGTAATGTACGCCCATAAAAAACTGCCCTGCAGGGACCATGAGGTAGGAAGTAGGGGCTTATGTTAAGGTACTGGTACTGAGAAAATACAGTTGTACCAAATCCTTCCTAAGAAAGAAGCACACCAAGAAATGTAGCCCACATCCCACCCACAATCAATTCACCACATCCTGTGAAGCAGTGAATATCCTGCACTTTACACACTACAGCTATATATTGATCTGCAAGTCTTAATGTCACTTGGAACCATAATTAAAAAAAAAAAAATTACAACATTTACTGCAAGAGATGTAATTCATCTCCAAAGTCCTGCAAAACATCTTGGGCACCTGCACAATAAACCTAATGCTTTTTCTGTCTATCCTTCCAATTAGTACTGGACCCACATGAGTAATTTTATATATAAAATGCACCATCTAGATTCACAAATACAGATTGACAAATTCAACCTGGGACAAGATATCTCAATTCAATAATAATGTCAGGTACTCATCACTCCCATTACACAGTGGTTTTTTACAGGTATCTAAACTATATTAATTGAAATATTAGGCGAACAAGTAATTATGCTTCCTGTAGTACTAACTTCGTATTTTACCATTATTTTCATCAATAATATTATAGATAGTATACACATGAGGTTTTCAGATTCAGTTTAGTATCTTCATTCTTGCATTCTGTTTGAAAATCAGAATTCCACTAATTT